GTGGAAATTTAAATCAGCACTTAGGGTATTTCTTTGATGCCTGGTTGAACCACAATCCGACAGGGAATTCGACAAGTGACGGAAGTTTTAAGTCATCCATGAACATTTGCAATGTCGATATGCCAGCGCACGGTGGTTATCCTGAGAATCTTCAGTCGCACTTACCCAGTTCTCTGGGTCAAGGCTGCTTTGTAGGTTCCGGTGAAACTCTGGAATGTGTATATAATGTGGCAGCAGGAAGATTTGGTTAAAAACAAATATAATTTGGACTCCTTGAAATTAAGCTACCTTCTTTTTCGTTTATTAACTCTAAACTCCTGATTTATTTTCAAAGACTCAGATTAGCTTTAATTGGGTTTATGCCCTGTACGCATGGGAATAATGACAATTCTCTCAGGTTGCATGCCCTTTAAAATAGGGAGCTTTGTTGAGTGTGAATACTTCTCCTTTTAATGTAACGCTGTCGAGATAAAACTGAAAACCAACAATGAAATCCATCTGTATTAACCTAAATTACTCGGCAAAAGAACTTTCCTCATTTCCAATTAACCAGTGGGATTTTGATTTGGCCTCTTCGTTCATACTTTTATGAAGAACTGCGGCTCTACCACATGTGTAGTAGAATGAGAAATGAATTGAAATTTTGACTACGCTCTGTCGTAAAACTACCTAATTAAGCCATTCCGGCGAATCGATTCAAACCGCGCTTCTCACTGTGTTAAGGAATCGAGGTCCCTGAAGTTCTACGACTTTCATTGTCCTACCCAAATCACATGTATGCAAAATATAATCAGGCTCTACGACTAAAATGCTTAAAGTATAACTGTGAAAATAAAGTAACCTCTTGGATAAAAGTGGGTGCCAGTTATTTAGTTTCTATTTAGAAATTGTCCTACATGATATTAATTTCGTCTACACAAAAAGTTGTAATTTGTTCATAATTCTTATGCACACTAGCAGAGCACTGACGTCACTAAACAGCTGTAAGAAAAACATTAAAATAGGTGCATTTTGAAGGCGGCAAAAAAATCCGACAAATCTTGCCGTCTAAGGATTTAATTATGAATGATGGAAAGAAGCATTTAAATCGTTAAAGGGCATATAGAATTCAGTCGTGAAACAGCTATGCAAAAATAGACGGCTATGGTTTGATATCACGAATAATAAATAGTGCCGTCCTTCCCAGTTAGCAAAACCATCAAAAATTGAAAAAAAATGTGCCTTTAGTTTTGATCAAATCTCCGGAAAACCTTGATTTCTTGCATGTACTACTCAGAAAACGTTTCTTGCCAAAGTCATCAACCATAAAAGATGCATCATTGAAGCAGAATTTTCGATAATGAGTCCTCCTTACTTCCAAGGCAATTAGTCAGATAGGGCGTTTACGCTGGATAGGAGCTAAGGAGGAAGGAAGAGCAAGGGAGAAAATTGTCGACGCCCAAGCCTCGTCGTCCACACCTCCGCTCCCTAACTAGCTCATGCAATTGGTAGGTTTGACCGACGCGGTCTCAAAGATCATGAGTAGAGGCTGTGAATAACGCAACCGTAGTTGTTTTACAGCGCAGGTATGACACCGGGATGTGGATTACGTGTTCGTTGATGCATGGGTAGCTCGACACTTGTAAAAGCAGTTGGAAGAAATCGTTTCAGATTGATCGTTTACTTGAAGTTGTTCAATAATGGCTTGAGTCAAGGTTTGACTGAACCATGATCTCAATATCTGATCTCTGTAAAGCACGAGTGTTAAGCAGGAATTGCGTGCTGCATCATAACTTTTACTTGAAATAATTTTATCAGCAAAAAGTTTTTTCAAAATTGAGGACTAAGTTTTTTGGACACAGTCGCATAGTCTCGGTTTGGAGTGCAGGTTTTGAAATTATCTACCATATATAACTTACTTTGCATAGCCTTTCTTGAGAGTTACGGCAAATTATCTTTTTCTGCTACGATCATTAGATTTGAGTTGGTGGTTTCAAACTCAAAGTCTCAAATGAAGGAGTAGACAATGATGGAAAAGTTAACCAAGTACACTTGGAAAAAACACCGAAGGTTTGATGTAAACCATTAATCTGTCAACCGATAATAAATCGGGATGCACGGGAGATGCTTTTGTGCGTACTCTGTTAGGCTGGAACAGGAATGTTTGAATGCTTCTCCCTGATGGCTTAGCAGACCTTACAGTCTGCTACAAGAGGTGCCCCTTTGGGGTGAGCAATAAAAAGTGAAGTTAAATCGAGCCAAGGATGGAATAGCTTGATGTTATGTGCTGAGTATGCTGTTAGAGGAATAAGTTAAATCTTGTAGGCAATTTAATGTATACAGGTCAGTCGCATAGAGAATCGGTGGAAAAACTCAGGAATAAATTCGCCAGTGTGGCAGAAATGGAGCGCCCCTGATGCCTAGCAACGTCAAAAACCCTTCAACTGATTAAACAAACCAGAAGACTTAGGTTTGAAAAGTTTGCACAAAAGTGGAATGCGGATGTTAGATTTGGCTGTGCCTTGATTCTTGGCGGCTCAATACTCAGTTACGCTCAAGTCGAAATGAAAATGATGGAGCCCAAATATTTGTGCAACACCAAAAAGACTATTTTGGTAGAGAGTAGCGTAATGTGTTAATGAGAATGATGCCAGTTGGAATGAGTCAATGAATGGGAATGCAACAATGTATCAAAAACGACTCAGTTTGGCTGAATGGGCAAGTAACGAAAAATAATAGACTGTGACCTCAACAACGGTCCTTTCTAAATGGTAAATTAAACAAACTTCGTAACAGATTCTACACTAAAGAGATTTTATGGTGGCTTCCTTTAAGACATGGTACGCGTAGAAGTATGCTTAACTACAGTAGAGGAGATTACTTTACGGCAATTGAGTCCAATTTTTACAAGCTAATTTGCTTAGTTTCCTCAGCTTAGATAAAGCAATGTACTCTTTCCTCACTTCTTCAACAGCATAAAAAAATTAGACCACAATCTCACCCATTTTTGACCAAGATGTAGTCATGTCATTTTCATCCACCATGAACCAACATGGTCTATTCACCATTAAGTAAATCAAACTAAACATGACAGTAAATCTGGCTTTACCTAATCAAGATTGAAAGAGTACTAAGGTTTAAATGCATTATTCTTGAGAGTACCATGTTTCCTATCGAAGATTCCAAAGCGCAACTCAAATAAAGACGACTAATGTCTAAACACTAAATTTCGTAATTCAGAGAAGACCAGATACTGAAGTCACAGAATCTAAAATAAACCATATCCATAACGTACTCAATGTCTAAAGTTCAGGTTATGGTTAAACTCAAGACTTTAAAATTAGCTTTCTACTACCAAAATCGAGATTCAGTTGCAACCCCAATAGCTGAATTAAATACATTGGATTGCAATACTAATGTAAGCATGCAATATTCAGTTTTAATAAGGAAATTTAGTAAGTGAAGAAAGCACCTTTTAACAAGCCATTTGCTACAATAGTCATCATAAAAACCAGTCACTATTTCCCATAAAAAAG